AAGTCAAATCCACAGACTGAGGCTCGGAAGGGCAGCCGTGAAGAAACTGGGCAAGACCCCCAAGTGTGAGGGCGTCTCACTGGCGACCCAGGCCAAGATCGTCTCCTTCATCACCAGGTCTGCCTCATCACTGTGTCTGGGCATGCAAGCTGGACAGCGAAGAAAACCAGCCGAAGAGCTTCGCAAACACCCTGGACAGGCAGAGAGGCCAGCAAGCAGGTCCTGGGTCAAGTCAAGCCTGAGCTTTTCCTGGAAGCAAAACTGGCAAACCGAGGCGGCTGCACTTGGCTGCACCCTGAGAGGCCAGACTCCCCGGAGAAGACACTCGTGGCAGGGAAAGGCAGGAGGAGTGGGACTCCAGCGAGGAGGTGGATGATGGGAGCAAGGAAGCCTCAGCCAGGCGCTTCCACGAGCCGAGCAGGAGAGCGGGGGACCGAGCAGCTGGGGCGCTCATTCACAAATTGGGGGCGACTTGGTGGCACCTCACGGTGGAGCCCGCTGGCCCTCCGTCTCAGCAGGGCCCACTGTTACCAGTGGCCGCAGGGCGGGTCAGTGGCGCACCTGCCCCTGCAGTGAAGAACGGAGGGAGGTGAGGAAGACTCCAGGCGAGGGTCTGTGGCGGAGTCGGGGGAGGGCTCACCAACCTTCCAGACACGAAACACGACGCTGTTCTTGGCACGGCCCCCCTCTTGGATGCCCCGGCTGGCCAGCATGCCGGCGAGCAGAGTGCCGGACCAGACGGAGCCACGTTCGGCTCCCCTTGCGAGCTTTGGGGGACACCTGGGAGGGAAGCACCAGCCTCGCTGGGAGGGACAGGAAGCCAGCCGTGCCCCAGGAAGGACGCCACGATCTTGGGGCGTGGGCACTCTTCCAAAGAAGCTGGCCAGCGCAGGCACGGAGACGGCCATCCTCCCCGGCAGCACAGGAGCCAATGAGCCAATTTTTGCTTTTTAGCCAGTTTCTCGGGAAACTCCAGAGACCTGCAATCAGCAGGCGCACTCCCTAAACCCAGTGGCAAGGTTGGTCCTGGCGGTTTTGTTAGGAAGCACAAGAAGGACCAGAAAGAAACCTGAGCTGTGGCTGGATGCATCCGAGACAAATTCCTCCCACGGCTGCCGTTCCTCTCCTGCCATTGGCAGTTTCCTCTCTTGGGAAAATGGCCCTCCCCCGTCCCCCCCACTTGCCCTCCCGAGCAGCCACATGCACTTTGCTGCAGCCCTGCGTGGGCCGTGGTGCGCGGGAGACACCACGTTCTCAGCGCGTTGGCTGGCTTGGCCACTGGCCACGGCCTCCCTGTGCCACGGATTCGCTAGCCACTGGGGCAAAGGTGCTCACCCTTGGAATGTGCTGGTTAATTTCGTTCAGAGTCAGGACTGCGGGGAGGCCCCTGCTCAGCCACAAGGCCCCTGCTTTGCATGGGCACCTGGTCCCGGGGATGCTGGCCGGGCCCCGGGCATCTCCAGCTCAGCCTGCCTGAAGCTCAGCTTTGCCGTGGCTGCCAAGCAGAGCTGGGCCAAACGAGCCAAGCAGGGCCTGATCCTGCCCAAGGCAGCCTCCCGTGTTCTTCGGTGGCCTGGGATGCTCGCGACAGCCAGTCAGGCCTGCAGGATTTCGGGATCTCGGGGCAGGGGGCAGAAAGAGGGGCAGGCGGACTGCGAGCGTTTCTTGAAGTGCGAACGGGGAGCTGCACGCGCGGTCCTGGCACCGGCTTCTTAACTCTTCCCTTCAGCGAAAGGCGCTCCACTCTTTCCGGTGCTACATTGCACCTCACTTTTATCTGTAATGCTCGAAATGTGAAGGAGGGAGCAAGGCTGCTGCCGTTGAGAAAATGACGGCGATGCGGCTGGCGGAGACCTGCCTCGCCTCCTGCCAGGCGGATGAAAGGGGCTTGCGCGGCAGCCATGATGTGAGGAACGGCCCCCGCAGTCCTCGGGATTGGCATGTTCTTTGTCTTTGGCGATCAGCCGTTTCAAGCCAACACCCTGAACAAAAAAAGCAGTGCTTTTTACGAGATGAAACTTGTGATCCAAACAAGCCCAGGCGGTCCTTTTGCAGGCAAAACAGAAGCGGAGAGCAGAGGCGACCTCCTGTTCTGGGAAAGGGTGTGGGCTGCAGAGAATCAGGAGATCAGTTCTGTTTTGCTCTTTAAAGGAGTGCATGGGGCGGGGGGAGGATGACCCCGCATGGGCCGCTCCACCCTTACTCCAGTTAATCCTCAACATGCTTGCTCACAAGCAGGCCCCAGTGAGCACCGCAGCCTCAGCATTTCGAAAGGACCGCAGCTTTGCTTTGCAAAGAGACTCTGCCGGGTGTAAGCCCGGCACATTCCTTCCCTGGGAGCAAGCGGGTGTGGCCTGAGGCATGCGCCCCACTTCCCCGGAGGCATTTCGAGGGGCCCCGATGGAGCCCTCGAAATGCTGCTGGCCCCGAGCCGTGCCGTGGGGCCCCCCGTGGGGTGGCTGTGCTGTTGGCGCAGCTCCATCAGAGCAGGGATTAATCTCCACAAGAAGGGGCTAATGAGCAGCTCTGGATCTGGATTCTCTTCCAGGTCTGGATTCTCACGTGCACGGATCTATTCCAGTGAGGGACTGGAGACGAAGGATGAATTCTGCTTGGAGAAGGCAGCTCCTGGTTGATGGGAAAACAGCTTTAACTGGCTGACTATTAGATTCAACTGATTAGATTAGCTTTCTTTTAATTCTGTGTGTGTGTTTAATGTTACGGTGAAGTATCTCACACTGAGTCCATCTGGGCGGAGAACGTTCCATGACCAGTAAGTTCCTAAGCACACAGCATGTCAGAAAAAAGAGAATTTAAGGCTCCCGCGAGCTCCCAGAAGCGCCGCTCCTGCCAGATGCTGGTCCGTCAGAGTGCCAAGAGTGTCCGTGCGCTAGTGCAGGTGCTTGCCCGGTACCTGCTCGCACTGTTCTTCCCCACAGTCCCTGCGGCCCACCCATGCGCTTTGCATTTCAAAAGAGAGCGTACTTGCGCAGAGTCTCTGGGGAGCCACGGCAAAACTCCTCTGCCTGCAGCAGCCTTGAGCCTGCAAGAATGCTGCATCTGCCACGTCCGTTGCCAGAGTGCCACCGATCAGCCCGTCCCAGCAGGCGGTCTCCTGGAACCCGGCTCGTGGTCGCCCCACAGGTCGTCACAGCCTGCCCTGGTCTGGAGGGATCAAGGCGTGTCCCTCTAGGCCCCAGTGAGACTCTGCTTGGTACTGGGAAAGGCCCATGCGCCATGCTTCGCTGAGCAGGAGCAGAGCCAGAGTCAGCCACGACGCTGATGCTGGGCCAGGCGCAGCGAGTGTCGCTGCTGTGGGACGGGAACGGTGTTGCTCAAGACGGGAACCGTCCGAGGCAATCGGCATGACGCAGAGCGCCAAGAATGCCTCTGAGCACGGAGGCGATGCGATGGTATCGTGGGACTCCTGGAGCCTCTGACTCAACTTCTCCCGCCCCTTTTTCCACTCCTTTCACACGTTGATTCAGCATTCCGGGGTCGAGGCCTCTGTTTTTTCCCGCAAGCCTTCCGTGTTTTATTCACATGCACCCGGGCCGTAAGTGTGTCATCATTATGTGGAACGAGAGTTGCATGAGAGTTGCATTTAACAGATACTCGTCCGTGGAGTTTCTTGCAAAAGGACCAGCTATTAAAGTGCGCCTTAAGTGAGTGATGTGTTGCGGAGAAGCGCAACTCTTCCTCCCCCTCAGGCTCTGGGTGGGTAGCAGAGCTGTCCTATCGCTTTAGTGGCACAGCCCTGGTGGAGCCCTGCCGAGAAGCCACCCCACAGAGTTCAATGGGGCTTCCTCCCAGGCCAGGGAGGAAGATTCAGCTGGTGTAGGCGACTTCCTTAGAACCGACCCATTGAAACGGTTGGGGCTTCCTTCCAAGGGACCGCGCCTGTGTGACAACTTCGCAACAGCCGATCTTCTTCCCATTCTGAAGGAGAAACTGAGTCACAGCCATGTTTGCAGAGGGGAACTCGGAATTGCGGCACAGCCGGTCACCCTTTCTCACCCTTTGTACACACCCTCTCGCGCCGATGGGTATCTGAGTCTGCACTCCATTCCCAGGCTGTCACCTAGTGGGCAGATACTGCCCATTATTTTTGTTTAAATGTTGTCATTGGAATCATGTTTGTTTATGTTGGAAACATCTTGGAATACTCTGGACCAAACGGTGGGGTAGAAATGATTTTGAAATGTTTTCCATAACACCAATTAATCAGGCAATGATTTGTTTTGAGAAAACAAATAAGAATCCATCAGCAATGCCTCCCTTTGAGCGTAGCGCCGATGATTTCAGAAGGAGATTTCCCTAATTGTAGCAGGAGGTGGGAATTCCTGCTTCCTGATGCTTTGACCCAGTTTCCTGGAGTCTTCACTTGGGTTGCCTTTATGACCCGCCTTGGCCTGGTGCAGCCGGCCGAGTGCTCAGCATCCTTGGGAGGGAGGGAGTCGGCCTCCGCTCCCCACAAAGGGAGGGAAAGACGCGGCGGCAACTTGGGGGTGCGTAATGGATGGTGCCCAAGTTGCTCCCTATGGACTGTTTCTGGGAATGAGCAGCGCCGGCTTCTCCCGCAGGGCCTTTCCTGCATGGGCCCCGTTGCCAGGGAGGTCCGCCGGCCCCGTCACTGCTTTCGGCGGCACGCTGGCCTTCCGCCCGCGATGTCTTGCTGGCCTGCTCTGAGTTTTTGCTGCACGAATGTTGGCTGCCTTTAGTGGGATCACACGAGGCTGGCTTCCCCCACCGACCACGCTCCAGATGTGTTGGACTACAGCTCCCATCATCATCCGCTGACTGGGGGTGATGGGAGTCAAGGTCAAGCCCACCTGGAGGGGATCTCTGACCGGCTTGGTTCCGTGTCTGGGAGATCCGCCGTCGCGCCAGTGAGGACCAGGGCGTAGCATCACAAGAGCGGGCAGCTTTGGCTTGGCCTCGGGAGGGCAGGGCAGCCAGCGCAGGCTCGGCCTGACTTGGCGGCGTGTCTTCCCTGGCAGGCAGCCTGCAGGCCACTCGGGCCCTGATGGTGGCGAGCATCTTGCTGGGCCTCATCGGTGCTTTCGTCGCGATGATCGGAATGAAGTGCATGAAGTGCATGGAGGAGGACGAGGTCAAGAAGATGCGGATGGCCGTCTTCGGTGGCATCATCTTCCTGGTCTCCGGTGAGAACATCTCTTCTCCCTTCCGGTCGGGGCGGGGACTCCCTCGGCCAAGCCTGTTCGAGCCTGCGGTGTTTGTCCTTGTGGGAACGTGGCTGGGGAGCATGGAAAGAGGAAGGCTGCCTGCTTCCACCTGGCAGCCTCCAGATGTGCCGGACTGCAGTTCCCGTCATCCCCAGCCAGCATTCCACGGAGCCATGGGAGCTGCAGTCCAGCCCATCTGGAGGGCACTAGGCCCGGGTGCCCCAGGCTGGCTCGCCCCCCCCCCCCCGTTTCCCTCCCTCGCCTGAAGGCCCGGTTTGGCAGGCACGGGCCAAAGGGTCCGCCTCGCCTCCATCCCACTGAGAAGGGGGAGAGGTCGCTCTGGCTTCCTGCTGGGCCACCAGGGAGGGAGGCGGCAGACGTTCACCTGCAGCCTCTTCCTTCGGCTGCCGGCCTCGATTTGAAGCGTAGCAGCAGCAGGAGGAGAAGGGGCATCTGGAAGAACGGAGGAAGCTGAGGAGGGGCCCCTCTGCATCCCGGCCCAGCCCTGCCTCCTGGGCCCCTGCGGCGTCCGGCTGCTCCTCACGGTGTGTGGACACAGCATGACCCAGGCGGGGGCACCCACAAGCATCCGCTCCCGTGGCTCTGCTGCGCGCGGTGGATCCGGCCCCCACCTTGCAGCCTCCCCTGCTGACGAACGGGCGGCCTTCCTCTCTTCTCCTGCAGGGTTCGCTGCCTTGGTGGCCACCTCTTGGTACGGACACCGCATTGCCCAGGACTTCTTCAACCCCTACACGCCAGTCAACACCAGGTAAACGGCGCCTTTGCGCAACGGGACCGGGCTGCGGGTGTGGGGCAGTTCTCTCATTTGCTCCCAGAACCCACACCCCAGAAGGCTATCCCTGAGACACATGTACAGAGTAACCAGAAAGGTTGCCTCGTGGGTGCGATGGGGGCGCATTTTGCTAATCCGTTTGCTGATTTTGAATGGAAAGCACGTGCCAGTCCTGCGAGAGAAGAGCCTTCACCACAGCGGTCCCAACCCAGTGATGCAGCCTGGGTAGGGGAAGCCCCTGAGCATGTGGGGCTCAAAATGAGAGAATATGTTGCATTATTTGTGTATCAGTCCTAGGGGAGAGGCAATCCATGGAACAGATTCATCTGGTACACATCATGCAGATAGAAAGAGAACCGTTCTGGTCTAGAAACATGCAAGTTTCTGGGTTCAGCCCCACGGAGGCCTCCCCGCCAAGATGGGGCTTTTCCATCACCATCCCCGGAGAGGCTGCCAAGGGTGACGCAGGCACCCCCCACGTCCCGTCTCTGAGCTCCTCTCTGTTTTGGAAGGGAATGCCTCTGCTCTTTCCTTCCCCTCATTTTTTCATGGCTGTTGCTGCTTCGTCCCTGGGGATTTCAGCTCTGGAATCCATGCGCATGGCTTAATCAAGTGGTCCGCTTTCCTCTTGCCCTGCGAGACCCTTGAACACTCAGCCACATGAGAGCGCCCTCAGCTCACCCGCACATCACTTTGGGTTAGAAGTCCAGGCTAATCAATCCACAATATACACCTGTGCAGCTCAGCTCCTGCTTTGTGCCCCGATGGGGCTGGAGGGACTTCTGCTTGGCATGAGAGCCAGAGCGAGGCTGGCACCGCTTACGCAAGGCAGCCTGCCCGGCGTTCGCCATGCGGGGCCAGTCGCCCGCAGTCTTGCGACAGATTCGTGCCACCTGCCTTTTGAGTTGTGCAAGTTGCCCTGCAAGGGCGGGATGAGTGCAGAGAGGCCGCGAATGCTGATCCTGCACAGATGATGATGATGATGATGATGATGATGATTATAACATTTCTA